GCAACCACATTCTTGCTGAGAGTTGTAGTTCTTTGGAATCCTCTTGTTATTTGGCTTTTGCAAATGAGATGCCAGAATATTTGATAGAAAATGTTATACAGGCAGATGGCTTGGAGTAAAATATTGAGTTTTGTTGTAATAGGTTATTTTGGTCAGCAATGAAACTCATACTGGGGAAAAATGGAGAATGCAGTGTAGTGAGTAAACATGTGAATAACAATTCCTTTTTCATTTGTTTATGCAAAGTTAAGTAGAATCCTTTTGTTCTTCTTTCTGCTGTTGTGAGACTACTTAGTCTGCTTTTGTTCTCCTTTCTGCTGTTGTGATAGAAAATGTTATACAGGCAGATGGCTTGGAGTAAAATATCGAGTTTTGTTGTAGTAGGTTATTTTGGTCAGCAATGAAACTCATAATGGGGAAAAATAGAGAATGCAGTGTAGCGAGTAAACATGCGAAGAACTATTCCTTTTTCATTTGTTTATGCAAAGTTAAGTAGAATCCTTTTGTTCTCCTTTCTACCATTGTGAGACTACCTAGTCTGCTCCAGTCCTCTAGTTGTCATCTCTGTATTAGCTGTTGTTGCTTCCATTTAATCCATGTTCAGCTAAGGAATGATAACGTTACTGTAAGATTACTTTTTGGAGTTTGGAAAGACTAAATTTCCTCATTAATAATCACTTGCTAGAAATGAATTTATTGTAACGTGGAGACAGATAATTTTCTTTTTCTTAGGAATGGTTGGTTAGGATGCCTCTTGTTGCATGGGACACCCATTGTAAGACAACTTGTTTGAATAACCTGGGGCTTTCACAGTAGGATGTTTTACAAGCAATATGCACTTGCATGGTACAATTCGAGCATGACATTTTTGTGTTCAGTAGTAGATTTCTTGATTTCATTCCGTTTACTTTCTGGTAAAACAGGGCTGTTGTTGAATCTCCCCTTCTCCATCTGGGTTTGCCAGTTTCCAACATGGATAGTTCAAGATGATTGACTCACCTGCACCACGTGCTCTTTGTTATTTTATGATTATCATCGCAACCAACCAAGTTTTCTCTTGTTAACTTGCGGCTTTGCTGTTTCCTAGTTCCACTATTGTTTTGTGTCACACCTCGTTTCCACTATGTTTTGTCCTAATTTGTACAGTAATTAAGTGTATGTTTTTGTCCTCTTCATGTGGCAAGTCTGATCAGCCTATATTATTGTGTGCAGAGGTTGATTTTGCCATGGAGAACTCTGATGATGAAAAGGATGGAGTTTTTGGGAACTATATGCCCAAAGAACTAAGTATCAGTTTAGCTAATGGTACCAAATTTGTAGATGAGGTACTAAGAGGTCCAAGTGACCGCTGTCTGGAAAATTTTCGTATGGATAAGCAGGCATTCTACAAGTTATGTGATATTCTGCAAGGCAAAGGCCTGCTACGCCATACAAACAGAATCAAGATTGAGGAGCAATTAGCCATATTCTTGTTCATTATTGGCCATAATCTACGCACTCGAGCTGTTCAAGAATTATTCCGATATTCAGGAGAAACCATTAGTCGTCATTTTAACAATGTTTTGAATGCTATTATGGCAATTTCATTAGATTTCTTTCAGCCTCCAGGATCCGATATTCCACCAGAAATCTTGGAAGATCCTAGATTTTATCCATACTTTAAGGTAATCCTAAAGTAATTTGAGTTCAATCAGTATCTTTTTTTGGGTGACTTTATCTAAATATAAATTATTTGCTGCTAGGATTGTGTTGGAGCAGTAGATAGGATACACATTCCAGTGATGGTTGGTATAGATGAGCAAGGACCTTTCCGTAATAAGAATGGACTACTTTCACAAAATGTTCTGGCAGCATGCTCCTTTGATCTGAGGTTCCATTATGTTCTAGCTGGATGGGAAGGCTCAGCATCAGATTTGCGAGTTCTGAACTCAGCACTCACAAGGCGGAACAAGTTACAGGTCCCTGAAGGTATTTTGCCTCTCTTGCATCTTAGCTCACTATAAGTTTATTTGGCCACCCTAGCAAAACACCATAATTATGCAGCTTTTGAGGTTTTTTTTTTTTTTTAACCTTTTACCTCTTTTCTTTTAAACTGCTTTTGAGGATTTCTGATGCCAATTTATGTAATCATTCTTGTTTCTTTAACTAATTTGGTACTCTTTTGCCCCTGTTGCTGGTTGAAAATATTGACTATGTAGGCAAGTATTACCTTGTGGACAGCAAATATGCTAATATGCCAGGATTCGTAGCTCCATACAATGGGGTCTCTTGTCATTTAAATGAGTTTTCTGGTGCTTATCCTCCTCGAGATTCAAGAGAACTATTCAATCAAAGGCACTTATTACTAAGAAACGCCACTGATCATATTTTTGGGGCTTTAAAGGCACGTTTCCCTATACTGATGTCTGCTCCTCCATACCCCTTACAAACACAGGTTAAGTTGGTTGTAGCAGCATGTGCGCTACACAACTACATTCGTAGGGAGAAACCAGATGATTTGATTTTTAAAATGTATGAACATAACACTGTACTGCAAATGGAGGAGTCGTTACCCCCATTAGAGGTGGAACAGCCAATTATGCAAGTTGAGAACCCAGCTTTGGACATTGCTTTTGATACAGAACAGCTAGAATTTAGTTCTCAGTTGCGTGACTCAATTGCAGGTGATATGTGGGATGACTTCATAAGTGATTTATCAACCATGTAGATGGATTCATTGTGATTTATAGTTTCAGGCTAGGATCGGATTCTTTTCAAGATCATTGGCTTATAAATTTTTAAAATTTGGTCTTGATCTTGATGCTGTACATTGAAGCTTTGTTTATAACAAAGAAATATATAGGTTGATCATAATTGTTACAAGTCCTTGTTGCATACAATGTATAGGTTGATCATAATTCTTCATGCCGCCCTTGACATTCGAACTGCTGATGAGCTGTTGAAGTCTAACTCTGGAGTTGGCTTCCTAGTCGACCCCTTATAATCTTTACAAGGGCGCCAACAAAAAGTGGGTAAAACCAGTCCTACTTGAAAGCTTTCTAGTCTGGTTGCTCGACTACAACCTTAGTCATTAAATGGTGTTTTGCTGTTTTTTTCCTTTTTGGGGTCGCTTTGTGGGTGATGGATCTGCAACATTGCTTTTGTTATCTGGATGTATCAGTTAACTTCATCCCATCTGCCTTGTAGTACGACGGGGGTGGAACCTGCAGAAGTTTTTAAAAAGGAAAACGACAGTTTGCTTTCCAAGCAGGATTGCACTACCAAATTCAAGTACACTGTCCTGTCGGTCTGCTATGCTTTTATTTGAAGCTAAGAGTTGTGTTTTGTCGAATGGTGTCTTTTGATTAATAATTCAACGCCTCTTTCTCCTGATATTTTATTGATCTAGATTCAAGGAGGAATGGCAATCGGGCAGGGTAGGGACGGGGATGGTCTGAAAATTTTGCTCTGTTCTCATCCTGTGTTCTGTGCGGGATAATATTTCTCGTACCATTCCCACGAGACATCGATGCTTCCTTAATTTTTTATTTTCATCTCGTCCTGTTTTATTCTGCTATCAAATTTCAAACTATAGCAAAAAAATGATGGTTTATATAGAAAATAAACCTTAAGAGTCAGTGATCATAGGTTTTATATAGACTATAATTGTAATTTCAAGGATGGAGCGGAGTAAACGTGACAAACGGGATGAGACGGGCAAATATAAATCTTGTCTCATCTCCATTCAAAATTAATACGGGACAAGGCGTAACTCGAGGAATCCTCATGTTGACCAGGACAATGTGGGGTAGGGCTCCGTCGGACCAGAGCAAATTGCTATCCCTGTATTCAAGCATGCATTGCCTGGCACCCTGAATTCTGCCATATGCAGGTTGATTGTGTAGTACAAATTGTAAAATGACTAGTCTCTCATCAATCTGCCAAAAATCGGAAGTCTAGCAATATTTTGGTCCTCCAATTCAGGAATTTAGGCCAATTGGAAAGAACTGCCCGAGCCGTATAGGTATCTTATGTAATCAAGTTAGAACTATTTTTTTTCTTTTTCAATGTTCTTCTATTAATGCATAAATAAGTTCTGAAGGTAATTACCATGTTTTTTTTTGTTTCATTCTTTTATCCCACAATGCATACGCAGTAGAACAAGAAAAAGAGAAACGAGAAAAAGAAGTCCCATTTTCCGTAGTCCTTAACGAAGTGGCTAGACCTCAATAACATATGTTTGTAGGGTCTTTGGTAGTTGTGTAGTTTGCTATGCTCATCAATTTACAGTCTTTTTACCCCCAAGAAAGAAAAGGAAAGAAAATTAAACTGAAAACACATTGCCAAGATCATAATATTAATCAGAAAACCAACGAATAGCTTAGCTAAGATTTAGTTTCAACATACGAGAAATATCTCTATTAAAAAAAAAAAAAAATTGAAAATTAATGTCAATATCTTAACCCGGCTAAATGTTAAGAAGATTTGAATCTTAGACTACAAGGAGACATCACTTTCTTTCCGGAGTGGACAAATGTAGCCTAATAAGATAGAAAACCAAAGAAAACAACAATATCTCGAATTAGAGAATCTGGGTAAGGTCAAGAAATTGAACATTATCACTAATATTTAAAGATAATAATGACATTTAATCTGTAATAATGAATGCCTTAGAAATTGGTTAAAGGATGACTTTTGAAGTAATAGTAGCAACCTCCAATGATTAATGTGTTAGAAATTGGTTGGATTAATGTAGAGAAAGAATGTAATAATATTATATAAAAATTTCTGAATTCTTACATAAAATGAGAAAAGCCAAAACAACAACAAAAAAAAAAAACACAAAATCATAAAATCCCATCTATCACTTCTCTCTTCTCTTGCAGCAGTCAGTCTCTCCTCATACGTGATTTTTTTTTTTTTTTGAAAAAAACTCGGCCCTTACAATTACAGAAATATAAGACTATCAATCTTAACAGACCCAAACAAGAGAGAGAGAGAGCGGGAGAGAGTGGAGAGAGATGATGGATCCAACAAACGATATGCTTCCACCTCCGTCTTCCCCCACCAACTCCTCCATATCCTCCTCCGATCTTGACACTGAGGTATGCACCCACTTTCTCTCAAAATTCAGTCTTCAAGATTTTACCTTTCTTTGCCTTTCTTGCTCTTGTTTTTCTTTAAACTTACTCATTTCATGATTTTGCTTTTATTTAATTTACCATTTCTTGATTTTCTTTGCCTCCCATTTCTTGATTTTCTCGTTTTTGTTCTTGTTATGCTGTTATGCAGTCTACAGGGTCTTTTTTCCATGATAGAAGCACAACATTAGGCACTCTAATGGGAGTCACATTTCCTGCCATCACTTTCAGAGCACCCTCTCAGCACCGCCACCCCGCCGCCGCGTCCTCCATCACCACCGACCCCGTAAACGGGGGAAACCCCAGGAGGAACACCAAGAAGAGAAGGAACCTAGCGGCTTCTGCGGTGGCGGAGCGGAGGAGACGGAGATGGTGGAGCCTGTGCCGGGATGGAGGTGGGGCTAAGCCGGCTTCTCTGGGGGAGTTTCTGGAGGTGGAGAGGAGGTTCGGTGACGCTGCAGCGGAGCTTGAAGGCATGATGATGGCAGAGCAGCCGAGGAACGGAGGAGTGAATGGACGGTTGTTGTTTGCTGAAGGAAGGGTTTTGCCACCTGCTGATGTTGTTGATGACGGTGGGTCATCATCATCATCGTCCACGGCTGGAGCTCTGTGGCGATTTCCGGTTTCATTTACTGGGATCTGTAGCGGTGGTACTGGATAACACTAACATTTAAAAATTGTTTATTGTTTTTTCCTTTTTCTTTATCTGCTGTCATTTAGTTTTATTTTACTTACTTCAGTCCTCGTCTAATTCGATTTGTGTACAAAAAACAGGAAAAAAAAAAACATAGTTTTGGCCTTTTGGGGAGTACATTTGTCTTATTCTTTCAAGAAAAATTCAGTTTGGATTTTTTCTTTTTTAAGATATTAAAACTGTTATGAAAAAAATTCCAAGTGGTTGTTTTATTTTTATTTTTTAATAGAAATTTACCAACAGCAAATCATATGTCATCAGGAATATATTTATTTTTTTAAATTTTTTCAGGAAAAATTATAAGTAAATAAGAAATATAAAAATTTTATTTTTAATTGCAAATACTGAAAATTTTAAAATTTTCAAGAAAATTATAAATAAATAAAAGATTATATATAAAGAAATTTAAAAAATTCTTTCATTGAATGTTTTTTTCATTTTTCAATTGTTATTTAATAATTTATTCTTTTATGGAAAAAAAAGTTTTTAAATTAAATTTCGAACCTATGTCAATTTACAAAAATGCATATCCTAAACTAATTATGGTCCGCTAACTGTTTAATTAAGAGATGTATTGAGTCAATTATATATATAGTTGATAGGTATAATAACCCAAAATAATAATACAAGAATGCATTAAATCAAATCAATATGCTGCAAAGAGATAATTTGATGCTTTAACTCAATAGAATTAACTTTATGATTAAAAAAAAAATTGGAATAACTTTTGCAAAATGAAGTAGACAAGTTTGATAGATTTTCACAGGAATCACGTGGTTTTAGCTGCCGATAGCATCATTTCTCGACAGAGTAATGATGGCTAACCATGATGCATCCAAGGTGCATGGATCTGCAGAAGTTACTTTTGTTTAGCCATTGAACCAATGAAGCTACGATCTCATGAACAAAAGGTGCATGGGCTAGAATAAATCCAACATATTCTGCTTTCAACTTTTGTTCATGGCCATCCTTTGATTGGTTTTAATGAAAACTACAATCATGTCGCAACACAGAGTTTAGAACGGTTCTAATTTTTGAATTACGCAGGACCAGTCTCATTGAGTCATAAAGGATGTCATTAGTGCTGCTCTTCATTGTCTATAATATGATTAGTTAGCATGGGTCCAAATTATAATCAAAGATTAACAACATAATCTCCGACCGAAAAAGGTAAAAAGAAGATTAGCAACTTGCCTTTCTAAGTGTGCCCTTTAAGCATGACAAATGACCCACTAACATTGACAGTTCGTCAAACAAGCATGATTATATTCTGATCCAGGCCCTGTAATTTACTCAACTGCCAGTTACAGTACAAGGTTCCTGTCCCTTCATAGGCCCATTTGGCTGGACACTGTTTCGGAGGCCCCTGCCACAGCCGATGACAGAATGGAAGTTTGTTAAAAGTGATCAAGAATGGAGCCAGAATACAGTCATCGTATGGGTTGGATTCTTCACTGAAGCACAAAATCTGTCAGAGGGATGGAACTATAAATGAGGGGTAACGCACTTTTACCATCTTTTCTCTTTTATTATTTTTTTTTATTTCAAGTATTAAGTATTTCAAATTTAAAAATTCAAACTAAAATTTTCATTTTTAAGTGAGATATATAAAATCGATGCGTATATAAAAATTTAAATTCAAAACTATTTGTTAGAATGATGATTCAAATATTATAAAGATATTCATACATAATTAAAGACAGTTAATAAGATGCTATTATTAAGGGTTTAATGGTGGTTTTTGCCATTGAACTATTGAGGATGAATGTGACACGTTGAGGTTTTAATTATCAATTGGGTAAAAATATTGTCTTTTTGTAAGATTTGATCGTTTTTATTAATTAAAGACCTTTAAAAAAATTAAATTTTAGTATTTTGAATTGAAAATTCTCATAGATATTAATGAAAATTCAATCAATTTCTACAAATAATTTTAATTTTTTTTTGGAGTTGGGTATTTTTATTTTAAAACAATAAAAACTCAATAAATTATGAAAAATAAAAAAATAAGCTAGAATTATCTAGATTTTTTTAGGAAGCTTTAAAGAGGCCATTTGAATTTACATATGTAGTTATAAAAATATTTGCATACGTGGTTTCAAAATTAATCTATTTTAAACTTTAGTTAAATGTTACCCATTCAACCATGCAAATATTTCGAGAATCATACTGAGAGTAAGCAGATATATGTATATAATCTTTTTATGGTACTCAAAAGATTTTGGGATCATTTTAAAATATTTACTATTTTTTACAGTTTTGTAAATATTTAATATTTAAGAAAAAAATTCATAAAACACTTTCTGATGTCAAAAAATTATTATTTTTTAAAAGAATTTTGGTCAATAATAATAGTCAAGTTAAAAAGAGCAACAATATTTGTCTAAAATAAGATAGTTAAAGGAAAAAATTACTAAATTGATAACACAAGTCTTAATGTGCCAAAATCTCAGTAGTTAAAGAGATGAAAAATGCCACTAAACCTATTATTAAGGAAGGACAATAAAGAGGAGGATAATTTAGTGGTTTTCGAATCATATTCAGTGGTAAAAAATGTCATTAGACCTATTACTAACAAAGGAAAATAAAGAAGAGGATTTTTTTTTTTAATCCCTAAGTTATTCCGGACTCAAAAACTCATACTAAATATACTTTATTATTCGATCAAGTATACAAGACGAACTCAACTACTTAATGAATTTTTTAGATATATAAAGACTTGAAATCGATACCACTTGATTAAACGAATAAAATTCTTTTCTATTAAGCTAATCTTTTTAAATAAAAAAGAGAGGATATTTTAGTAGTCTATTAGTAGTTTTCTAATAAATAAGCCCTTTTCTATTAAGCCAACCTTCTTTCTTAAATAAGAAAGAGAGGATATCTTAGTAGTTTTCTAATCATATCAGGTGGTTGGTAGTCATCTCGCTCTTAATAAGTGAAGAGGATGAGGTTGGGGAAGAGATGGGGGAAGGGACGATCCCTGAATGAAAGAAGAAAGAAACTGTTAGAGGGGATTTGGCCTTAGAAAAGTTGAGCCAATCCAACGGAAAAAAAAAAAAAAAAAATCCTTTTAAAAGGGATTTTGACGTAAGGATGTCAAAATCAGTGAAAGAAATAAAAAATAATATTTTGATGCCTTTTCAATTAAAAAGCATTTTAATTCAAGATAATGTATTAATTTTTCTAAATGTACTAAGTCTATCCGGAAATGCATTTTTTAAAATCATTTAGAAAAAATTTAATTTCTATGGATGTATAAACTGATTTAAAAATACTTTTATCTTAAAAAAAGAAGTAATTACCTTTTTTTTATGATGGTTTAATGATATATTTTTTGTACTTAAACTATTAAGGTTGGGCTCATTAACCATTGTACTACTAAATTAGTCCATCAGCTTTTGGTTCAAGACCATTGATCGACTACAATAACAAAAAACAATCTTTTAATCAGAAGAAAAAATTATATAGTTTTTAAAAATAAAATAATAAATTAAAAAAAAAAGTTAAACTCATCAGAATTTTAATTTTGAGGTGAAATATGCCAGCAAACCATTACATAAATTTCTTATTAAATATTTGGTTAAAAAATAAAACCATCTCAATATTTAATTTTGGAAAAAAAAATGAAGTGAGAAAGATTATATGCATTAAAATCCTCGTAATTAATTATGGATGCAAATTTTATTTCACCACAACTATCACCTAACATTAACATTCATCACATAAACATAAACAATTGAATTTTTTTTTCCTACCGCTTGTTTGAATGAAAAAATATAGTTTTTAGCATTTTAAAAGTATGTATGTCAGAAAGGGTGAATTGGGTGAACTGTATTAAGGATAAACATGGTTTTTAGTGGTTAAGGAGGCCATGGAACGGTTTGGGTAGCTTTTAAGCTGTGGAGGCTCTGATACTATGAAGTAATTAAGGTGTGCTGAAGTTATTATTATTATTATTTACAGGAGCTGTGTATATAGTGTGAGGGTTGTACAAGTGTAGAGGTCTAACTCTACTGTAAATCTGAAATTCTATTGATTGGAAGTTACACTGAGTTGGAACTCTGTAGTATACTGCTGCTGGAACTCTGCAAATCATGTTTATCCTTAATAAACTTGAGAGAAGAAGAAAAGAAAGGATGGATGGTTTTGATAAGATACAGTTAATCAGAGTCACTTTGAGCGTAACAGGCTAACAGCCAACACCTGATTTTTTTTTTTCAAACCCACCATTGCCTACGTTCCTCCCTTTCTTCACGGTCTGAAAAGCTATCACTGTCAAACCTTGTTACTGTCGCACCTCTCCATTATTTTTTTCAAAAGACTCTTGCGTACGTCCCTCTTTTTTTTCTTTCTTTTCTCCTTTGTCCACTAACAAGACTTGTTACTGTCATGCTTCTCAAACCTGCGACTGTTGTTCCACCAAGCTTTTCCTTTACAAACCAATCAATCATGACCGCCTCCACTGCTGCTGCCTCTACTTCAAATTCATCTACTCATACACCTATTCCAATATCTACTCCTTTCTCTACACCAAACATATCCCTCCACCTCACCATCGAACTAAACTCCACCAACTTTTTCTTTTCGTAAACGCAGCTACTGCCACTGCTGCGTGGTCATGATCTGGTTCACCGTAACCTGGTTCACCGTATTAATGGCATCATGGACCTATCTTTCCCTACTCTAGCAGACACTACCTCTTATCAAGCATGTCGATAGGGCCCGCAAGAGAGCAAGAAAGGAATCACCATATACGGAAGAGAACTAAAAAATCCTAAAACAAACTAATTTACATAGATATTTAGATAAAAAATTAATTATATATAGAAAAGATATAACATTATCGTTATCTTATCCTACTTGAGGTAGGCTGCATTAAATGCATACGAAAATAAAATTCTATTTTTATTATATTATGTTTCTATTCTATTTGAGTGAATTTATTTTTGTTGGTATGGAATAGT